TGATCTTGACTCACTGCAACCTCTGCCTTACGGGTTCAAGTGATTCTCATGCCTCAGCCTCCCAAGTAGCTGGGAATACAGGTGTGCACCACCACGCCCAGCTAATTTTTGTATTTTTAGTAGAGATGGGGTTTTGCCATGTTGTCCAGGCTGGTCTTGAACTCCTGACCTCAAGCGATCCTCCTGCCACAGCCTCCCAAAATGTTGAGATTACAGGAGTGAGCCACTATACCCGACCTGTCCTCAGTTTCTTTCAATTCTTTCATCATCCCCAGTAAGCAGAGAAGGATGGGAAGCTTGCTTAATAAGACTTTAATCCAGTTCCTATGAACAAACCTTCAAAAATCTATATGATATCAAAATTTTCATTAAGTCTTTACCAAGTTTCCAGTGTTAAAATAGTGTTGCTTACAATTATTTTAATATATTTTAAAAGTTATGCCAGGTGAAGTAGCTCATGCCTGTAATCCCAGCACTTTGGGAGGCTTAGGTGGGAGGATCGCTTGAGGCCAGGAGTCTGCAACCAGCCTGGACAATATAGTAAGACTCCATCTCTACAAAACAAAAATAGCTGGGCATGGTGGCACATACCTGTAGACACAGCCACTCAGGAGGCTGAGGCGAGAGGCTTGCTTGAACCTAGGGAGTTCGAGCCTGCAGTGAGTTATGATCACGCCACTACATTTGCCTTTTTGTTAAGGGCAAGACTCCAGCTCTTAAAAAAATAGTTAAATGTGGCTATTTGTAATAAAAATTACCTTAGGGAGCCAGGCGCAGTGGCAAGCGACTGTAATCCCAGCTACTCGGGAGGCTGAGGCAGGAGAATCGCTTGAACCCGGGCAACAGAGGTTGCAGTGAGCGGAGATCGTGCCATTGCACTCCAGCCTGAGCAACAGAGTGAGATCCCGTCTCAAAAAAAAAAAAAATGACACATAGAAAGTACTTAATACAATTAGGGAAAAGACAGTGTCCTTGCCTTCAAAAGCACTTATAATCCAGAATAGGAGACTAAGTTACTTGTAAAAAAAAGAAATAAATGCTAAATAGAAATATAATCAGGCTGCAGGAGCAAAAAGGAAAGCATCATTAATTCTAGTAAGAGTAATAAGGCCAGGCGCAGTGGCTCACGCCTGTAATCCCAGCACGTTGGGAGGCCGAGGTGGGCAGATCACAAGGTCAGGGGCTCGAGACCAGCCTGGCCAACATGGTGAAACCCTGTCTCTACTAAAACATACAAAAATTAGCCGGGTGTGATGGCGGGCATCTATAGTCCCAGCTACTCGGGAGGCTGAGTCAGGAGAATCACTTGAACCTGGGAGATGGAGGTTGCAGTGAACAGAGATTGCATCATTGCACTCCAGCCTGGGTGACAGAGTGAGACTAAAAAAAAAAAAAGAGTAATAAAGAAAGCTTTATAGGAAGATGTCAAGCAGAATTTTGAGGGACAGTCATAAAAAGATTCTCCCTTTCTCTCTCTCTCCCCACTGCCCTCCTATGATGTATTCCACCACATTTTGGTGGTCCTAAACAGAGTGTGGCCATCCTCATTCTACAGGAGAGGAAAAGAAATCTCAGCAAAGTTAAATATTTTTTCTAATGTCCCATAAATGATAAACGGTAGATTTGGGAAGCAAGCCCAGATCTTCTTTCTTCCATAATGCCAATATTTCTCAAGGTGCGGACTCTGATCACCTAGACTGAATCATAAGGGGGAGACGGGTGGGGGGCTTGTTGAAAATGCAGGTTCCAAGGTACTTCTCCATACCTTTTGAATCAAAATCTTAGTGGTAGGCTTCAGGAATCTGCATTTTAAAATCTCAGGTAACTCTTACTTTACTAAAGTTTGAAAACCATTGTGCTTACGAACAGAACAGAGAAGAAGGGGATGAGGAAGTCCAAGTGGAGAAATCCTATAAATAAAGGTAAGAAAACCAAAGTTATATTTTGAGAGTGATGAGTAGTCTGGGGTTTTTGACCACAGATATGTGAAAGGATATAGTAGGGGATGAGACTGGAATGGTTGGATTATGAATGGCTTTAAAAGGTATGTTAAGGAGTTTGGATCTTCTCATTTTTTTTGTTTTTTTTTTTTTTTGGTAGATGATGGGGACTCATCAAAGATATTTTTCTGAATATATGTATTTTATATATATGCATATATATATATAGCCTCGGGTGAATCAGTAAGATTTACCTGAGATTTTATTTATCCATCCATCTCTATCTATATTGAGAGAGAAGAGAGAAAGAATAATTCTTAGCTCTTAGATTTCTTTTATGGGTTATAATGAATACTTTAGAACCTACTATATATGGATCATTTAATACTTAAATTATTATCTTTGTATTTAATATTTAAATGTATTAGATTTTTTAATTTTCCAATAAGCCTCTTCACACCAAATATTTCCTGACATTTTTCTGTCTAATTACACAGGCTTTTGAGATTTCCTTATCATTTTTTCTTACTGAAATCATATTTCACTGCTTGGAAAAGTTTAGTTTAACTTCAAACTTAGGGACTTTATTGTTGGATGTAGTTTTAGAGATAATTCTTTTTTTTTTTTTTTTTCCAACAGGGTCTCTCTTTGTCACCCAGGTTGCAGTGGCACGATCTTGGCTCACTGCAGCCTTGACTTCGTGAGCTCAAGTCATCCTCCTGCCTCAGCCCCCTAAGTAGCTGGGACTACAGGCACATCATCAGGCCTGCCAATTTTTTTTTTTTTTTTTTTTTTGATAGAGATGGAGTTTCACCATGTTGCCCAGGCTGGTCTTTAACTCCTGGGACCAAGTGATCCGCCCACCTTGGTTCCCAAAGTTCTGGGATCATAGGCATGAGCCTGGTGAGATAATTCTTTTTTAATAATCTGAAGGCTGGGCGCGGTAGCTCACGCCTGTCATCCTAGCACTTTGGGAGGCTGAGGCGGGTGGATAACAAGGTCAAGAGATCAAGACCATCCTGGCCAACATGATGAAACCCCGTTTCTACTAAAAATACAAAATTTAGCTGGGCGTGGTGGCGAGTGCCTGTAGTCCCAGCTACTCGGGAGGCTGAGGCAGGAGAATTCCTTGACCTTGGGAGGCGGAGGTTGCAGTGAGCCGAGATGGTGCCACTGCACTCCAGCCTGGCAACAGAGCAAAACTCCGTCTTAAAAAAAAAAAAAAATCTGAATATTCAATCCAGTAGTAACCATGGGGGTATCTTACTATTTAAAAGCCTATGTCTAGAATCATGGCTATTCATCCTCCTTACATTTTGTTTCCACTCTCTTAGCCCATCCCACTTATGTTGATAAAACATTGCCCTGTCCTAAGGAACACTGATTTTTAGATGGAGATTCTTTACATTTACTGAGCATCTACTATGGTAATACTACAACTGTACTACGTATGTTATTTTATTTAACCCTTTCAACCTTTTATTTGTTTTAATTTATTTTATTTTATTTTGAGACAGAGTTTCTCTCTTGTTGCCCAGGCTGGAGTACAATGATGCAATCCCAACTCACTGTAACCTCTGCCTCCCAGGTTCAAGCAATTCTTCTGCCTCAGCCTCTTGAGTAGCTGACATTACAGGCTGCACCACCACGCCCAGCTAATTTTTGTATTTTTAGCAGAGACGGGGTTTCACCATGTTGGCTAGGCTGGTCTCGAACTCCTGACCTCAGGTGATCCACCCGCCTCAGCCTCCCAAAGTGCTTAGATTACAGGTGTGAGCTACC